AGTTCATGTTTGGTTGTAATCTGCCGCTCTCTTCGATTTCCCTCACCATTCTGAAAAATGTTGGAGCCAAAATGGTCCAGAATTCTTTGTAGAACTCTGCTGGGAACCCGTCTGGACCTGGAGCTTTCCCATTAGTCATGGATTTAAGGGCTTCCTGGAGCTCTGCTGATGTTAGTGGCGAGTCCAGGACTGCAACTTGGCTGTCTGTTAATTTAGGAAGTGTTATCCTATCAAGGAACTCATCGATCTCGTCATCTGATGGGTTTATCTGTGGTGAGTACAAAGTTTGGTAAAAGTCTCTGAAAGTGTTGTTTATTCTTTCAGGGTCATAAACTATATTCCCAGTTGAGTCTTTAACAGCAGATATTGTAGTTTTCTCTTTATTAATTTTTAACTGGCTGGCCAGAAATTTACCGGATTTATTACTATGTTCAAAGTTTTCTATTCGTAGTCTTTGTGCTAAAAATTGTGTTTTTTTGTCAATAATTCCATGAAGTTCTAATTTAGCTTTACGTAATTTGCTCAGTAACTCTTCTTCTGTGGATGTCTCTAAAGATTTAATGATTTCTTCTAACTCCTGGATACGTTTATTTTCTGTTTTTTTCTTATGTGATGAGAAAGAGATTATTTTACCTCTCATCACTGCCTTTCCTGCCTCCCAGAGAATAGATGCTGATGTTCCAGGCAGGTCATTATGTTCTAAATATAAAGCCCACTCCTTTTTAAAAAATTCTATAAAACCTTCATCTTTAAGCAGTGATGTATTAAACCTCCAGTTTTTGCTTGGTGGGATTGCTTTCTTGTTTACTAGAGTTAAAGAAACCGGAGCATGGTCGCTGACAACAATAGGGTGTATCTCAGTGTCTGAAATGTCAGCCAGCAATGAGCTGCTGACTAGAAAATAATCCAAACGTGAATGAGAGTGATGGACGTGTGAGAAAAAAGTATACTCTCTACGGTTAGGATGAAGAGATCGCCATGCATCACAAAGCCCATAATCACTCATGTACTGTTTAACTATATAAGTGGATTGCCAATTGCGCCGAGTCCCAGCTGTACTGAGCCTGTCTAAGGAATGCATCCAAAGATTAAAATCACCTCCAAGTATAAGTGGACAGTCCAAGTGTTCGGAGAGTACAGAGAAAAAATTATGAAAGAATGGAGGGTCATCAATATTTGGACAGTATATGCTCACAATACATAAGCGTTGGTTCTGTATAGTTATTTTTAACATTATAAATCTACCTTCTGGATCAGAAACTGTGTCCAGTACTGTGAAATTGATGTTTTTGTGTATTAAAATAGCTACCCCTCTTTGCCTAGAGTTATAGCAGGCAGAGAACATGCTGGGAAACTCAGGTGTTTTAAGTTCATCTGCCGATGTGGCAGATCTATGAGTCTCCTGTAATAATATTACGTCTGCTTCCATTCTTTTTAACTGATCAAAAATCTTTAATCTTTTATCTCTTGAGCCAGTTCCATGTACGTTCCATGAGACAAATCTTAGTGCACCCATAGATGTGTGTGTGAGTAGCTAAAATATGACGCCTTCATGTGAATAAGATGGAATAAGTATCTAAATGTATAAAATAGTATGTTAATAAATAACAGAAAAGTAAATAATAATAAGGATTCAACAGTGTTTGTGGTTGTATTATTTGACGCATAAATTATGATATTGTGTTGTGACTTAAATATATCCATGTATGTGTGTGTGTGTGTGTGTGTGTGTGTGTGTGTGTGTGTGTGTGTGTGTGTGTGTGTGTGTGTGTGTGTGTGTGTGTGTGTGTGTGTGTGCGTGTTCCTGTGTGTGTGTGTGTGTGGGTCTGTGTGTGCATGTGTGTGTCTGTGTGTGTGCGTGCGTGTGCGTGTGTGTGTGTGTGTGGAGTCTGACGCAGTGTTGGAAAGTTGTGTGGTTGTGCCATACAGGTGTAAAGAAGCAGATAAAAAGAGGAAAGGAAAATACAGAAACAGGTTAAAAAAGAAGAAAGAACTAAAAAGAAAAGGTGATGGGGTGTGAGGTGATGATGAACAGGTGAACTCATCATCTAAAACACGGATCTAGCAGCTGTTTATTACTGACGTGCTCAAACCCAGTGAATCTGATAAGAAAAATAAAGGTCTGACCTGATGTTGGGCTAATACAGCCAGTCTGTCACTCCTCGCTCCTTGTAAAGTTTATTATCCACATAAAGCTTATCCACTGAGATGACAGCTCTCTTCCCATCTTGGATAAACTTTTTACGCAGCGGAAAGAGAACTCTGCGCCGATCCAGGATTTCCTTAGGAAACTGGTCATTAACGCTGAAGTCTTTGCCTTTGAGCTCTCTTCCGTGACTTTTAACCAGATCCTTCTGCTTAAAATGTTCAAATTTAGCCACGATGGGACGAGGTCGTCTGCTGTCCCCTCTTTTAGCTCCAAGGCGATGTACTCTGTCGAAGGTGATGTTTTTTACCGTTTCTTCGGGTATCTTCATTTGGGTCTGGAGAAAGTGTTTAACAGTGCGTTCGCAGTCCTCGGCCCCTCCCACCTCCTCCGACAGACCTGCAAACACCAAATTATCCCTCATGCTACGGGCCTGAAGGTCCAAAACCGTCTCCTTCAGAGTTTTGTTGTCCTGGGTGATCCGCGTCATTCCCTCCTCCAGGGAAGAAACGGACTCCCGCAGAGACGCGTTCTCAGCAGCGAGCCGCTCCACCTGCTCCTGGCTGAATTCCAGGGACTGGCGGAGGTTCTGAAACTCCTGGTGCAGAACCTCAAGCAGATGAAGACGCCCCTCAAATCCCAGAAGCCGTTTATCTATGGATTCTAATAATTCCAATATGTCCTTCCGGGGAGATGAGGCCTCAGGCGAGTCCTGAGGGCGGCTCCGCTTCGTCCCAGGTGTTTCAGGTTCACCTGCTGATTTCTTCGGACCCATAACAAATAACTCGAAAACTCCGTCAATAAAGTTCTGTAAACTTTCTAAATTTTCTTCACTTACCTCCAGATTGAGCGAGTTATACTTACCAGATTATTTTTTTTGCGTTGTCAGTTTTTAAATTAGGCAAAAATGCATCTGAATTGTTTGTGAATGTTTGCTAACGAGCTGCCATCAGCTTCAAACGCTGCTGTGTCCGGTAATCGGCCGTCAGCGCATGCGCATCCTTGTTGTTTTGTTTTTGTACCCAAAGGTGTAGACCTTAGGCTTTATGGGGGGAAGTGTTACGGCTGGAGCCTTTTTGTGTTGTGATTTCATTTTTTTGTGCATTTTATGTTGCATCTGAGGAGCCTGCCTGCAGACTATGTTGGCTCACCCTTGCTCCTCCCTGCACCAGCTGAGCTGGGTTTTCATCAGCCGCAAATTGTTTAAAGGACCAGCTGGAGCTCCTCACCAAGGGGGACAATAGTGCAGAGCTGCCTTTCCTCTGGTCTGTTGTCTCCCACTTAGAACTTCGATATTGTGCTCTTACTGTTTGAACCTGTTTTGGTAAAAGTGGATTTAGATCTGTGGTGGTTAAAAGAATAATAGTCATCTTTTCTGAATTAAGAGAAATTAAATAAAACCTTTGTTAATTTTCCTTTGTGTCACGCGTCCTCCATGTTACCCCAGGCCCCCTAGACACCTGGTTGTAACAGCGACGGTGGCACAGGAGTTAAGTGCTCGCCCCGTAATCGGAAGGTTGCAGGTTCGAGCCCCACTCAGTCTGTCGCTGTCGTTGTGTCCTTGGGCAAGACACTTAACCAACGTTGCCTTCTGGTGGTGGTCGGAGGGACCGGTGGCGCCAGTGCTCGGCAGCCTCGCCTCTGTCAGTGCGCCCCAGGGCAGCTGTGGCTACATCGTAGCTCATCCCCACCAGTGTGTGAATGTGTGTGTGAATGGGTGAATGACTGATTGTGTTGTAAAGTGCCTTGGGGGGTTCCAGGACTCTAGATGGCGCTATATCAAATACAGGCCATTTACCATTTACCATTTCTCAGTGAACTACACGTGTTCATCTGTTTCTGTACAATATGCACAGCAGTATATTAAAAATCATATCACTCTCATGTTCACTGGAGGAACACGTTGCCCCCTACACTCTCACGGACCCGATTCTTTGAGGTAAATGACCGACTAATGAACGGCTCCCTTCAAAGAGCCAAAAGTCCCATCGCTAGTGTAAGGCTTTGGTTGACCCCACACTCCCACACCACAGCTGTCCATGTTTCACCACAATAATAACAACAAAGAAAAGAACTGGGCTGTAGGCGCCCTACACGTAAGACATCACCCATTTTTATCATGTCATTCAACCATTCACACACACCTTCACACGCTGGTGGTGATAAGCTACATTCCATCCACAGATGCCCTGGGGCACACTGACAAAGGTGAGGCTTCTGTATGCAAGCCCCTCCGGTCCCTCTAACCACCACTCTTCAGGGTGAGATTCTGGAGGTGTGACGTGAGGACGTGTGAAGAGGGTCAGATGTGTGTCTCATGCTCATTGCATGAGAGTTGGCAGAACTTATTATGTTAGATCCATGCTGGTGACAATTCCTGCATCAGGTTTTAAGAGGTGCCAGTTCAGCCGGGGAGGCCAGGGCCCTTTCATCAATATTTCTGTTTGATGGCCATGTCTGTCAGTGCAAGCTGATCAACTGAACCTCATACATTCCAGCCCGCAGAGACGCTGTGTGCAGCTACCACGTGATCACCTTCAGAGTCCTAATTGAAAACACCTGGACTTTTCTGGTCATCTGGAAGACATGCAGCATCTCATCCAAGAAGCTTCTTCGGGTCTAAGATTTGCCCTGGGGTAGGAGGCTTAGAAATTGTATGTTTCAGTTTTTTTTTTTTCAAAATAAATGTTATCAAATAAAAAGTGATATAATATAAAACATGAAACATTTAGTCAAAAGCTATAATTAGTATAACAACTGTAAAGACAATATCTTTAACATTGTTCATGTAATTAATCAATATGATGCATATGTAAAGTGAGCAGTTGGTGACTGAAAAAGTAAATAAATTCACTGGTTCTTCATTCACTTTAATGAAAATAAATTCACATTCGTGTCCTCATACACTCACATGGATTGACTGCAAGAGCAAGAATGAAGCAGATATGTTAACACCTCCCCAAATAACAATCACATTTTTTCACTTTGAAGCGGGACAACATGTACAAATGCTTCACACCTCAGCACCTAGAGGAGATTACTTGTAAAGCAGCAGAGTAAAGTTGGTGTCCTCTCTTCAGGAACACGTTGTTCCCTCCACTTCAGCCTGGCAATGATTTGGTGAAAATCATCTGGAGAATCTTCTGTAATTCCTTCCTTCATTTTTCCACCAGGGAACTGTGGGATGTACCTCTCCCTGTTGCATCCTGGGAAAAAGTAGATTTAAAGGTGACACAGTTTTCACTGACTAATGTACTATTTCAGTTTCTCAATTTTTTTCACGAGTCAGCTGATAGAGTCCTCTGCACCTCAGCTCATTTCTGGCTTCCTCTGAGCCATTAGGCAGCTACTGATGTTTTCTGCTGGATCCCAAACCTGGCTACAGGAGGGCTTATGTTTGCAGTGTGCATGTGATCATTAGGGTGTGATTTCAAAGTACGGTGAGATAAAATTGTGGGAGCACTTCAAACTAGCAAACATACTCTTTGCAGGAGTGCCACCGAAGAGCGGGATCAAAATACATCAGGATGACGAACCTCTGCTTCACACCACAGGCATCAGCGGCGTGGAACAGCAGCGCAACGGTTTACTCGCTAGCTTCGCTGCGTGCCAGTACACACCGGGAGAATCTCAGCCACGGAGGAGCTTCTCTGCCGGGCTCCTCGCTTACCTCGCAAGGTCACAAAATTGCTCGAGACTTCAAAGTCAGCAATTTGTTAATGCCATTCGCCATTAAACCAAAAGGAAGGAAAACCTGTTTGATGATAATAATTTAATGGCGCCTTTCGATCACCTTAAGTCACCTTACAGAGCATAAAAGCAGAATTTAAAATATAGAAACAAGATAATTCAAAATTGTAAAATTCACATGTAAACCTACGAGCGGGCATTAGTGAATACCTTCTGGAGTGAGCTTGTATGCAAGTGTGAACAGGTGAGCTTTGAGTCTGGATTTGAATGTGGCGATGGAGTCTGACGCTCTTATGTTTAGGGGGAGGGAGTTCCAAAGTCTTGGTGCTGAGCAGCTGAAGGCACGGACACCCATGGTACTGAGATGTGTTGAAGGGATGGTCAGTAGTCCAGCAGAGGTTGAACAGAGAGTGTACTGGGGAGTGTATTATTGTAAGAGGTCCTGGAGGAAAACAGGAGCTTGGTGGTGCAGAACTTTGTAAGTGAGGATGAGGTTTTTGTAGTGGATGTGGAATAGAACCGGGAGCCAGTGAAGTTTGATTGGAATGGGAGTGACATGGTCAGAAATTTAGGTGCAGGTCACAAGCAGTTTGTCGATGAGCTTGGTAGGAAATCCAGAGAGGAGGGCGTTGCAGTAGTCAGTGCGGGATGTGACAAATGAGAGAACCAGGATATTAGTGTTGGGCTGGGACGGCAATGAAGGAATTCAGGAAGTGTTGCGGAGGTGGAAGAAGTCATTCCGGGTGATGTTACCAATATGTGGTGTAAATGAAAAAGGGTTTTGTCGAGAATGACCCCAAGGCACTGGATAATGTCAAATATGATGTTATTCCTCTCCACTGTCAGCATTAAAGCCATGTAAAACACGCCATTGCATTTGTCAAACAATGCTGGGAGTAAATAAGTCAATAGGTGACGTGTATTGACGTAATCTACATAGATATGAAGTTGCATCGCTGCAATAGTCTTTTATTTTGAAAATCACTGGAGGTTTTCCACTGAAACCGTATGTGATTTCCTGTCTAGCCCTGTGTGAACTGTGGAAATACTCGTGTCCAAGAAGCAGCTCTTGGAAAAAATGGAACCTGATCCTGTTTTAGCGGCGTGGCATGCTGCTTCTGGGACGCTCCTAAAAATGTCTGTGTCACGGCTGGTTTGAATCACCCCCAAAGACAATAATGGATTCAGTTAGAACCAGTGACATTCCTCTGGCGTTCTGCGCCGCGGATGCTTCCAGCGTGAACTAGGAATTAGCCCTCATTGTTTAAATTGACAATTTTTGTTGACCTTTCTCTCAGCCAAAGGGACCTGTGCAGGCTGATTTAGTCATGTAATCTTACACAGGTTATCATAAAGTAAATTATCTGGTGCACTTACCTTTTCAGCAGTACAGATGTTGTTCTGACTCATAATATGAGGTGAATACCCAGAGGTTGGGTATGTCACACTTGAATAAGTGTTTTTGTGGTTGTTCCTTAGAGCTGAAACTAGCCTGAGGCAACGCCTTGAGGAACCAATCGCATGTGCTATTTGTCTGGTCAGGGCAGTCTTTAGTGGAACAGGTGGTGGGACTTTATGTGGTAGAGCAGGTGAAGCACTAACTCTCCTCTTCTCTGGAGCTGAATCATTGAAGACCTCGTCGGATTGCTCCCCCAGTGTGGTGGCTCTAAGATGTACTGCGCAGAGCTCCTCAGGAGCCATCACTGGAAGAGCCTTCTCCATCACCCTGAGGGTGGAGGGCTCAGAGTGGTGTCGGGGGGACGGTTTGGGTCTGTGGGTAAGTTTGGTTTTGGGTGAAAGATTTAGGCTTGGAGAGGAGGGAGTTGGGACATCTAGTTGAGGGATTTGTAAAGAAAGCCTTCTGGTGTGATTCCTGGAGGATCTTGATCTGGACCTGGGTTGGAACTTCCAGCCTAGGGGATCATGTCCGGTGATGACAGAAGTTGGAACAGGAGGGGATGAGGAGCAGGAGGAAGAAGAAGCGGAAGAGGAGGAGGAAGATTGACTTTGAGAGAAACAGATCCCAATTGGTGGGCAGGAGTAGCGCTTGAAGGAAGAGTGTGATGATGCTTGGAGTTGTTTCAGGGACACTCTTCTCTGTGCAGGTTGAGGTTCCTTAACGGTCTTCTTCACAGTGATGACAGAAGTCCTGGATTTACAAAAGTCAACTGACAAATATCTCTGATGAGAACATGTGTTGGCATCGATCAACGTTGCTGATAAAGGTCGCTCTTTAGAGCCCTTAACTTGTGCTGCAACAAACTGTGGCCCTTGGGGCTCAATGTCGACTCCGTTCTGAGTTCTGGCACCAACAATGTAATAATCTGACTCCCTTTTACTCTTCTGGCCACACTTGGCATAGTTGCCACGAGGGGGCACCATATGCACAGGACGTTCATTCATCTTCTTGCAGAGAGACGCTGTAGAAAAAAACCTTAAGAGAGAAATTGGGAGGACATTTGACATACTTTCATTTCAAAAAGAGGAACAGCAGACGCCCATCCTGACTTTTCAAATAAAGTTTCACAATCTTTTATTTTCTCACAACAGATGTTCTTGCTCAGGAGTCTGCAACAAGATTTTGGCACAATGTTGAGGTGCTACCCAAATGTACCTAAACGGTGTTGTTTGTCCCTTAATTTTTTAGGATAGGCGATTTAATCAGGAAAAATTAAATATTCAATATTCTATCATCATTTCACCAATTTTACTATGAATAAATATGCATTATGGTTTTAAAGTTCTATTAATTCTAAAACACACGTATAAATTCTTGGTACCACTTTACAATAAGGCTCCCTTATAAATGGTTAATAAATGGTTTATAAATGTCTTATTAATCAATCTATAATGCCTTATATATGACTAATAAACATTTATTATGCATTAATTAAGGGTGAAAAAGACACTAAACTTACTAGTTTCTTGCCAAATAGTGAACCAAATCTGTTGACTTATGTACTTTATCTAGACTTCATATATTAAACATTTCAAACTAAGAAACTACCTTTTAAGCACTATTAGCATTTGTAAACAAGGTTTTGGGCAACTAATAATGTACCTTATAACTGCATTATAAATACAATGATTAAAGGGAGGCTTATTGTAAAGTGTAAAATATGTCTTTATTCATTAATAGTTAATAAACATTTATAAATACAAACTGGAGCCTTATTGTAAAGTGTAAAACATGTCTTTATTTATTAATGATTAATAAACATTTATAAATACAAACTGGAGCCTTATTGTAAAGTGTAAAACATGTCTTTATTTATTAATGATTAATAAACATTTATAAATACAAACTGGAGCCTTATTGTAAAGTGTAAAATATGTCTTTATTTATTAATAGTTAATAAACATTTATAATTACAAAAGGGAGCCTTATTGTAAAGTATAAAACATGTCTTTATTTATTAATGATTAATAAACATTTATAAATACAAACTGGAGCCTTATTGTAAAGTGTAAAATATGTCTTTATTTATTAATAGTTAATAAACATTTATATTTACAAAAGGGAGCCTTATTGTAAAGTATAAAACATATCAGTGTTTATTAATGACTCTTAAACATTTTTTAATGTAAAATGAAACTTTTTTAGTATGAAACTAGTTAACAATTATTTATAACCAGTAAACTTTTTGAAGACTAGGGGCCTTACTATGAAAAGTATAACAAGCTGCCTTATAACATTAGACAATACTCTATCTTAACATGTGCAGTTGTTTTGGTTACACTTAGGACACACAAAACCTTCTAAACAAAAATGACAAGAAAAATCTTTGTTGTGTGGAAACTGAACACATAACTGAACAGATCGTTAAAAAATTACCAGTTTCACACACATCTGTTCTATAGCTAAATATGCTGAAACAGAACAAGTCAGATAACTGAGTAGGCTTTCAGACAGACTTGCCTCTTCGAATTGGAAGCAAAGATCCATCAGCCTTCATGCTTTCTATTTTGTTTTTCACTTCATCATTGCTTTGAATCTCTTCCTCACATCGCTTAGCAAAATGGAGTACCGTCTCTCCACTGGGCTTGTTGGAGATCAGCTCCTGGTAAACAAGAGGAGCTGCGATAGCGAGCTCAGCAACTGATGCCGTGGACACAACTGTGTTTCTGTCAATCCCATGCTTCTGAAAAGCTTTGGACAAGGTCTTCATCTTTGGAAATGTCTTGAGGAGGGACTTGTATCTCTGCACAATCTCACTTGGTGTTCGGACTGAGAATCAAATTAAAACAAAGAAAACTGTTAGAAACAAATGCTCATGGCACACAATACAATCTGTTACTATAATTTACACACACACATGCATATACGTGTGTGTGTGTGTGTGTGTGTGTGTATGCATTTCTAAAAATGCGCATCAGTCCAAACCTTATATTCAAGTTTGGTGTCAAATACAATGTAGTTTGAAGAAAATGTTTAAATGGTAATTTTATCTCCAAAGAACATATCTTCTAGCCTGGCCTGCCAGACTAGACTTCTGCACAGAGAGTCTGGTAACTCACAGGCAGAGAGGCACATGAGGGGCGGGATTAGCCAGCTCAAAAATGACCAATCAAAAAAAAAAAAAAAGTGGAAATGCCAACTGTACCATGTGACGCAGTAGTTTTTTTAGCTGTAGTAAAAAATGGAGCCTGGTAATGGCGCAAACATCTTTCTTTAGAAGAAAGATTTTTAGCGGTTCTTGTTGTGGTTTCAAAGACATGTCCAAGTCATTTACAACAGAGGAAAGAGCCGCGGTGAACTCCGCTTCAGACATAATTGTTTATGAGAATTTGAGCTTCACTGTGTGTGTGACATACGCTGCTCAGTGATGATTGGTTTGGTTAGCATTTTCATTTGGGTGGGGTTATTTACATAGGAGAGTTACCAGACTCTTTCTCTGTGCAGAATTCAACAGAGGAGGAGTCTGGCAGGCCAGGCTACATATCTTCTGAATATAAGTATTTTGCTCACCACGCTGCCGGAACTTCTTTTCCTCCTTCTTGTATTTCTTGGCTTTTGAATGCTTGTTTTTGAATTTGCGCTTTTGCTTCTTTGGGGGTGAAGATGAGGATGAGGATGAGCACTCAGATGATGCAGATGAAGATGTGGAAGATGAATCCAAGTTTTCAGAAGGATTGTTGATAAACGTATCATTTAATGGTTCGTCTTTAGGTTGCGCTGCAGAAAAAAATGGATGAATTTAGAATTTTTTTAACACATATCAGGTAACACAGAGTGAAACAAACATGCAAAGTAGCTGCCAATTTCATTTCATTACACAATGGATGATTTTGTCAGCTTATGTGCTTTGACAGAATGAGAATGATGCACCCTTCTGAGTGAAATAATATACATGTGGCTGGGCAAATCTAATTTTTGTAGACTATAGAATAATAAAACAGTATAATGACTGAGTGTTGTTGTCCAATACAACATTAAATGTCAATAATTGGCAGTAATTACCTATTACCGTGGTGTTTAAAGGAGAAAAAGGGGAAAACTAAGTTGCTGGTACTAAGAGATAAAGTGGCACAACTACAAACCATCTAAATGAACACTTTGATGTCGAAATGTGTATTTTAAATTAATTATTAAAGTATGTAAATGAAAATGTATTTATTTGTGAGAGCACAGACAACTGTAAGAAAACAGATAATAAACAGATAATAGGTAATGGCATAATACATGCCAATTAATTAATCAATAGGTTTAAACCCAATTAGAACAAGTTATTTTTAAGAGTTAACTGGCATAACACCAAAGAGTAACTATTTTTTTATCAACACAGTGACAATAAGGGATCTTCATGTATATTTATAAATTATCTGATTTTTATCACAATAATCTAAAATTAAACAATGTTTATGAAACTAGTTTAATGTCATACTTGACAGAGATGATAGCTGACTTCGGAGGAAATCCCTCTCTCCTTCCAGTTCTTCAATTCTCATCTTTTGCCACTCCAGCTTCTCCTTAAGAAAAGCAACTTCCTGTCTCTCCTTATTAAGAAGCACAGTTGCAGTAGGGGCAAGGCCAGAAGAAGTATCTAAAAAAAAAACAAAATTTAGACACACATTAACAACAGTAGCAGAATCTCTAATCTAAACTAGGCAAACTAAATGACAGCAGAAACAAAAATATCTACTTTAAATGGTAACAATACAAATGTAAAAAAAGTTCTGAGACAAACACCTGTTGTAGAGCAGACACTTCCAGAACAAAATAAATTATTCCTCCATGTTACCACACTGGGGTTATTCATAATGATATAAATGTATATACATTTACTAACTATTAAAAAATATAAAACTTTGTGAGGTTTCACTTTCGTAATAATTAATAGTACCAGAGATAGCTAGGCACTGTAGCAGCCAAATGGTTCATTGTTAGCATTAAAACATTCCTCACCATCACGTTTCTCTGTTGACAGCGTTGGTTTAGTGTTAACGTTATCCAGTCGCTGCTTTTTGTTTTTCTTTGAACGCGTGCTGACCGCAGGTGTCGCAGTGGAACAGGAATCTTTCTCTTCAGGTCCATCCATGGCGCTGCCGTAGATAGCTAGCGTCAGTCCGTGTCGGTTTGACTGGTGGATCCACCTCAGCTCCGACGCACACCGATGGGGGGGACTTCCGTATTAAGATTCACTGTGATTGGATGTTTGCACTAAGCTCATCTCTGTATGGCTAATTTTCGTTTTATTCCCTTTGGCGCGACGATGGCTAGTTTTCATATGCAACCTAAAAATCCAGCGGGAAACGCTTCATAACTGAGTCCAATGCACTATAAGAGGTGAGCAAATTGTTTTATTTTTTGTATGCAGGGTTGTTCTTTTAATTATAATTCACTTTCAAATATTACTTTAGCTGATGAAGAAAAATCATTTTTAAGAATGAAAATGTTTTGTGTAAATGTAGCATGTTTTGTATTAACTTAACTAAATATTCTTGTTCCTGTTGTGTTAGCCATTTTTACATTTTTCTTTGAAAATTATCAGCATTTACAAGTTCGCTTGCAGGGAAGAGTAGTCATAAATAATGATAATTAACATATTTATTAAAAACCCATTTATCTTTCTTTTTTTGGTCATTCTTAGTAAGTCAACATAATTATAAATTCAGGTTTTTATTTAGCAAGTGTTACTTCCTGTTGAGCTGTGTATTGTAAAAAGAAAAAAAACACAAATAGATTGCAGAGGCAATACAGTTTGTAACTGTATGTGCTGTGTTTTTTAAGTAAGTAAAATAAACTGGAACTAGAAATGTTTATATCTTGATTTTTTTTTTGTGTGTTGAATTTTTTGGTCAAATTAATGGTTTTACATTTTTCCTTGACTTTTCAAAGAATGCTTCAAGAATTATACAAAGACTTGATCTGTTGCTATATCAGTGACCTTTTTTTACCTATGACATTCTGAAGATACCAGTATTTCAATGTAATAATATAATTAAATAAATCTATAATTTTTCCTACTAGAATGCCTCTTGGGATGAAGTTGTGCACTCATACAGAGGGAAAACAAACTAAAAAGAAGACTCTGAGGCTGATTAAATGGCTGCAAAAGAAACACCTTCTAAAGAAGAAGCTGAGATGCCCTGTTTGCCACCATAAGATGAAAATGATATCTGTGGTGAAGAAAGACCAATTTATGTGGTATGAATGCATGATAATGTAGAACATTTAACATCACATTCTGATATTTAAGGCAGGGTACGTAAGTTGGAATTGTTAAAATAATTTTGACCATCTGACCTTGTTCTATGAGAAAAAGTGTGATCTTTCATATTTTATTTTTCTCCTAAGTCCCTCCCCTGGCTTTACAGCTAAACTAATAATTTCTGCAAGCCTACCACACTGGCTAATAGCACTGCATTTCAGATGTTCTCTCACTTGACTCGGCTTTCCCTGCATGTGCACGTTAGGAGGCGTGGCTTTCGGCTCATTCAGGAAGGTCGGGGATAGAGCAACAGCCCTTCAAATTTTAAAAGCAAGACACAGTGCTAACTTTATCTCAATATTTATTTATTTTTTAATATAATTTTGTGATAATGTTTATAGGTTCATTTATTTACCTCACTTTTTGGTTTGTTTTCAGGTGCTGCAAAAGAGCAAGTCATAGAAAAGTCTCCAGAACAATTAGAACTGGCTCCCTCTTTGAGAAATCAAAATCTTCTCTTTTCAGTTGGATGAAGTTCATCTACAGGTAGCCTGTGTGTATGAATGTCAACAGGAATAGCAGTTAATAATAGGGCCTCAGTGAGTTTTGATTGGTTTTCATTTCTGTCGCAGATTTTCACAAGGGCTCAGGCTCAGGCAGATAGATATGATTGATGATGATGTGGCTGGCAGCTCCAAAACATTAAGTGCCATGGCAAAGCGTATTCGACAAGTCTGCATCAGTGCAATGGAAAGACACGGAGTAAATAAAGGGCACTGTCTTGGTGGTCACAAAGAATTTGTGGTTATGGATGAAAGCTGTCTCCGTCATCAGCGAAAGGTTGTAAACTCTCAGACCCCTTTGTTATTATCAGTCCAGATCTGAACATGTCCCCTAAACATATAAGTTTTAAGTTTTTACCATTACATTTAAGAATCAATATAGTAAAACTGTTACAACCAAACAAAAACAATCTGTTAATAAACATATTATTATATCAATTACTATGATGATTTGAATCACTTGAGTCAGAATTTAACAAAATTAAAGTTTGTAAAAGTAGTCAATTAATCCATAAAGGAAATGAATGACAGAAAACAGCTTTTTTATTCAACATCTTTGTCATGCTGTTAATAAAGTTAAAATACAATTTACTTTAATAACAGCAATACAATTAAAATGTTAAGATGCAAACTGCATTTAAGAATATACTTTGTAAATATTCTGTTTAACCTTAATCTTTTTTTTATTTTCAGTATGCACGTGGACGCTTCGGAAATGCTTGGAAAAGAAAGAAATGGGTCTTTGGACTGATGGGAGTGAAAGACAAAAGGCGAAGGCTCGTGTTAAAACTTGTAGAGAAACGAACAAGGCGTCACCTTGTTCCTCTGATCAGACAGCATGTTAAGTCGGGTAGTGCCATTATCAGTGATGAGTGGAGAGCCTACAAGAATGTCTTGACAAACATGGGGTACAAACATTACACAGTAAATCACAGCAGGTGGTTTGTTGATCCTCACTCGGGCAGTCATACACAACATATTGAAAGAGCTTGGATGACAATTAAAGGACATATTCGCAGACTAAGAGGAAATCGTACAGAGATGTTGTTGGAGGAACATCTTAAAGTTCTCAAATGGTCATCTTGGCTTGGTTCAAAACATCCTGATGGACCACTGGGACGCTTATTCAAGGACATATGGAAATCATTCCCAGTTTAACCTGAATCTCTTCTACAACAGTTTTTTTTAGGGAGGGGGTATTTGGTGTGTTTGATGAGTTTGGATGTTAAATGTGCTACACTTACAATACATGACCATTTTTGACAGTAGTTAACATAGTTTGTACAAATATTTTAAGCATTTAGTGTAACTCTGAAGTTTAACAAATTTAAACATTTAAGACTAATTTTTGGTATTTATAAATGTTTATTAGTCATTAATAAATAAAGATATGTTTTATACTTTACAATAAGGCTCCAGTTTGTATTTATAAATGTTTATTAATCATTAATAAATAAAAACATGTTTTACACTTTACAATAAGGCTCCAGTTTGTATTTACAAATGTTTATTAATCATTAATAAATAAAAACATGCTTTGCACTTTATAATAAGGCTCCCTTTTGTATTTATAAATGTTTATTAATCATTAATAAATAAAGACATGTTTTACACTTTACAATAAGGCTCCAGTTTGTATTTATAAATGTTTATTAATCATTAATAATCATTAATAAATAAAGACATGTTTTACACTTTATAAGAAGGCTCCAGTTTGTATTTATAAATGTTAATTAATCATTAATAAATAAAGACATGTTTTACACTTTACAATAGCGCTCCCTTTAATCATTGTAAGTATTTATAATGCAGTTATAAGGTACATTAATTATTTGCCCAAAACTGTGTTTACAAATGCTAATAGTGCTTAAAAGATAGGTTCTTAGTTTGAAATGTTTAATATATGAAGTCTAGATAAAGTACATAAGTCAACAGATTTGGTTCACTATTTGGCAAAAAACTAGTAGGTTTAGTCTCTTTCTCACCCTTAATTAATGCATAATAAACATTAATTAGTCATATATAAGACATTATAGATGGATTAATAATACATTTATAAACCATTTATTAGCAATTTATAAGGGAGCCTTATTGTAAAGTGGTACCCTTGGTTTCTGAATGTCCTAGAGAGATCAGGTTTGTTTTAGTGTACTCCAATCAACAGCCCCTACAACCTCAAAAAGGAATGGAGTCATTAGCACTCATGGTTTTTAAATGGCACCCAGAATTATGTTGCACGAAGCACAATTTCACATCATTCTGGGTCCATTTGTGTGAAAACAAGGTCCAATCAGGCTGAAACGTTACAGGAAGGTAGAATCTATTGAGTTGTAAGTGATCTGAACGTTTCATGATGATAGCACTTTCCTAAGGGGGTCAAACCATGTCCCAAAGGTCACCGGATCTACAGTCAATTTAAAGAAGTAGTCCAGTTACACATTTGTGGGCTTATAACTTGGCTTCTGAATGTCCTAGAGAGATCAGGTTTGTTTTAATGTACTCCAATCAACAGCCCCTACAATCCTCAAAAAGGAATGGAGTCATTAGCACTTATGGTTTTTAAATGGCACCCAGAATTATGTTGCACGAAGTACAATTTCACATCATTCTGGGTCCATTTGTGTGAAAACAAGGTCCAATCAGGCTGAAACGTTACAAGAAGGTAGAATCTATTGAGTTGTAAGTGATCTGAACGTTTCATGATGATAGCACTTTCCTAAGGGGGTCAAACCATGTCCCAAAGGTCACCGGATCTGGTGTCAATTTAAAAAAGTAGTCCAGTTACACATTTGTGGGCCTATAACTTAGCTTCTGAATGTCCAAGAGGGATCAGGTTTGTTTTAATATACTCCTATCAACAGCCCCTACAACCACAAAAAGGAATGGAGTCATTAGCACTTATGGTTTTTAAATGGCACCCAGAATTATGTTGCACGAAGCACAATTTCACATCATTCTGGGTCCATTTGTGTGAAAACAAGGTCCAATCAGGCTGAAACGTTACAAGAAGGTAGAATCTATTGAGTTGTAAGTGATCTGAACGTTTCATGATGATAGCACTTTCCTAAGGGAGTCAAACCCTGTCCCAAAGGTCACCGGATCTGGTGTCAATTTAAAGAAGTAGTCCAGTTACACATTTGTTGGCTTATAACTTAGCTTCTGAATATCCTAGAGAGGTCAGGTTTGTTTTAGAGTACTCCAATTAACAGCCCCCATTACCACTAAGAGGAATGGAGTCATTAGCACTTTTGGTTTTTAAATGGCACCCAGAATTATGTTGCACGAAGCACAATTTCACATCATTCTGGGTCCATTTGTGTGAAAACAAGGTCCAATCAGGCTGAAACATTACAAGAAGGTAG